GTGCAGTGAAGGATGATCACTTCTGCCTGTTAAAGCGGGGAACAAGTAGAAAATGAACAGAAAGTACAAGAGGATGGAAATGGTTTGTGTCTTTTTATATACATATATCTATATATACATGTATGTGAGGGAGATAAGTTTATTCAGGTTTAAACTGCTCATGGATCTCGAGGATAAGTTCTAATGAGAGCATTCATGGTCTCTTCATAGGCAATATTAAATGCTCATAAGAAGGAAAGCGTGAAGGGAGAGGAGAAATCATGATAGCCATATTCTCACAGGAGGGCATAGAGCTGTAAATTAGAAAGTATATTGTGCAGATCCCAAGGGAGAAGAGCCAGTAATAAAGAATCAGTGCAATTGGTCTAACGCAGTGAGTGTCATATATTAAACTGAACTCGCTGTGACAGTAATTTCTGGCTCTCTGCTATCACTTGGCACTGTGACTTGTGAAAGCTGGATCTCTTTACAGTGTTCTGTCTTACCATCTAATCAGTCATCAAAAGAGGCAAGAAAAGATTTGCTAAAAATTATTACATAATTAGGGAAGGGTAATAGAATGCTAAAAGAGGCCTTCTGTTTTCACTTATCTCTGATCAAATATCTGCCTGGCTGTGAAGATTCTTGTGTAGTCCATCTGCAAAAATATCTTCAACAACTGGTTGTTGTAAAGAAAAACATGTGGATGAGGTTTCTAAATGGTATCTGAAGACATATGCTTTGTATGTGTATTTTTTTTCAATTCCAGCAAGTTTTCATCAGTACGCTATAGATAATGAAAATAGGAATGGTGGAATTCTTGTCTGAGTAATGTAATGGACATAGATTTTTATCATTTTTCATTTTTAAATCTACAAGAGGAGAGAGATATCTGCTCTTTGCCATTCCCAAGCAATTTCAGTGGAAGAGAGCCAAGGTATGCTGCTGGTGGGTTTTAATTTTAGCGATTGTGACGGGGAAGGATTTTAATATTGCTGAAATATCTTTTCAGAAGCATACCTTGAAATTCAGTTACTTAACAAAGGATTTTATGTCTTGATTTTCTTTATCTCCTTCTGTAGTGGTATTTTTCTTTATACTCAAATTATCGGAGATGAGGAATTTTCAGATTAAATGTCACACTTGGGGAGATGTCCAAGTTGTTTCTTGTCCTTTCGACAACGTCCACATAAACTCAATGTGAGGGCTAGCTGGGGCAAATTGCACTGAAATCAATGTTTACAATACAATACAAGTTTTTTGTAAGCCGCCTCGGGTTTTGTTTGTAGCAGACATTCTTGATGTGTACAGTAATGTTTTGTTCTCTGGGAACATTTGTTCTTTTGTTGTTTACCTAAGCACCGATTTGGATTTATTAGAAAGGATTTTCCTACTTTCTGTAAAGCTGTCTCACAAGACATTATTGTAAGGAGAGACAACAGCAGGGGTAGTCTGAAGGAAGCTTAATACCCTGGGTTTGGTGTTTTAGAAAACAGATCTTCAATAATAACTGCACAAATTGGACAAGCCTTGCTTTCAACCCTGAATGTATTATGTATAATGTGATCTGTAGAACAGGTTTACAGAGTTAAAAGGATCTTCGCCAAGGCTGGTTTTTGCTTAATGTGACTGATTTCTCCCAAGTCATTCCTCAGTTAATCGCAAAGGAAAGTGAGGTCTCCAGAGGCTTGCTCAAGGCAGGTAACGTACACCATTGAGTAAAATGCAAACTGGCCTCATGGAGCTAAAATTAGCCTTCTTGAACACTTCTCTTGGTGCCTCAAGTAGTCAGAAATTTTGCTTACTGTCAGGAGTAGCACAAAGGAGAAGCATGCCAAAATGTAAGATGAGGAAAATATGATAGGACTGTAAAAGTGCATTTCTGCTTGCATCTTAATTGATCCAGAGCTGTATACTTGGTTTCAAATGCCAAAACGTGCTATATTCTGCTTGATTTGCTCTTGTGAGGAAGCAGAAGGACCGGCTCTGGGCTCATTCTTACAGACAACTGCATGAAGGTGCACTGAGAGGGCTCTTAAGAGCATGGTAGTGTTAATGGTACTGGAAGAACCTTGGCTTGCCTGCTTTGTGTGAGGTGTGGCATGCTGCAGAATAGAACGTGTCAAATTTTGAAAGGGTGTTTTGAATAAGGCAATGCATTTTCATTGGAAAATCCAATAATCCATAAGATTCTTATGAAGCCATTTTAAATCTTGCAAAAACTGTCTCTCCACTCTGTCTCAGAAAAGAGATAGGCAGATTCGACAACATCTTTCCCAAGAAGAATAAAACATGAAGTGTGATGTAGCACTCTGCACAGAAAGCCTCAATTCAAACAGTTGAGATTTACCAAAGCTTTAAGTTAGTTTTTTGTGAGCCATCTGAGCTTCTTCAGTAACTACTTGGTGCTTTTAGCTCTATTTAGTGGCATCAGTGAGATGTTGGCTACAATAAACAGGATTTCTTTTTCACTTAGTCCCTGAGCAGCGAGGAGCACTGAGCTCACTCACAGAACTGAAGGGTTCTCTTCTATAGGAGTCTCTCACTGGCTTTCTTGTGCCCTTTATGGTTCATTCATGATACAGCTCTGAAAAGCTTGTGGCTTTCTCTTGGTGATAGCAACGTAGCGCGTATTGCCCAAAGAGCATTGATTTCAGAAAAAGGTCACTGCCCTTGTGAATCTGCTGGCTTTTTTGCCTTCATTTACAGTTTCAGATTTTCTCCGTACCCAGAGGGCCGTTCCTCTGCTGTCAGCAAACATCTGTGAAACCCGCAGGCCAAATACGTGCTTCATTTTCACTGAAGAGAATGGAGGAGGAGTGACAGAGACATAACAATGTATTACTTCTGTCTGGCCTTTTCTTGGCAGAGGTTTTAAACTCTTCACTGAACTCTATGCTATCATTATGATGTCATATGATGGATTTCTTGGGGTTTGCTTTTTACAGTTTGCTGCTTTTAAAAAAAAAAAAAAAAAAAGCCAATGCCAGTTCTCAGGACAGCAGGCAACAGCTCCAATCAGAAAGCTGCTCTTTTCTTACCCCGCAAGTTCCTATGCCTTTTGACTGTTGAAAAAAATCTATCTCCACTCCAGCCAGAAACTATTTTCTCTGTTGCACAACCCCGACTCAGTTCCTGAGTATGTTTGATGCTGGTTTAGATGTGGCAGGGAATGCGTGTGTGTGCACACATGAAGAAAGCATTTCATCGTAATACTTAAAATAATGCAGGCATTGAACCAGAGCTGTAGCCACAACACTAATTCAGGTAATTTGTGAAGTTGAGGTGCTTGACCTAGCAACTTTTTTTTTTACCCCACTTCATGTTTGTAGGGGGAGGAGGAAAAGGAATTAATCCATCAACAGTATTCCATTTTAGAGTAGAAGTTAATAGATATTTTTTCATGAAAGACCTATATTCAAGACAGGGGTCCACTGCTTGTTGTTAAGGAGCTGAGTGTTAAAGTATCAAAAACTGAATTGATGGCTGTAACTTTAGCACTCCCTGGAAGCTGCTCTTCTTGTCAGTGCCCCTCTCCATAAAGTCTGCGGGCTGCATGCAGCATTCCTATGTTCTGTGTAACTGGCCAGAAGCAGCTTGTGATCTTAAAAGCTTTAAAGGGAACATTTGCTGCATGACATTACTGTGAGTGTAGCTAACGTGCAGCACAACGGATCAGGGATTTTATTATTTACGGTTTGTTACGTAAGTGTTGCCCTTCTGAGTACTTTCTAAATCCTCTTAGTTCTTAAGTGTCAGCTTTGATTTCTTTTTTTTTTTTCTTTTTTAATAAAATCAGTCCTTTCATTTATCTGGCTAAGTTTGATAAACAAAAGATGTTTAATACTTCCTTTCATATAGGCAGATTCTTGTATTTAAGGGTTTATCTTTGTACACTTAAGCTTATTAGGCTCCTGGGTAACTATTTTTAAGAAGCTGACATTGCAACAGCAGTGTGTGGTACAGAGGCAGCCTTTGGAATTTACTGTGCCTTGCCAGTGCATACTGTCAATAGCAAAGCTCCAAAAGGATTGCTTGAATCAGAATAATACAGGTTAACCAACTGGTATGGATAGCTGAATTGTATTCTGATAAACAAATAGGCAATAGCAGAGGCTTTTGTCTTTGGTTTATATGTGTGTGGACATAGATCACGTACTTTTTTGTACAATCAATGAATATACAGATGATATAATATATTTGAGAGCTTGGCTTAGGTAATTATTATACTAGAGCAGAAAAGGACACTCACCCTCTCCTGGGGTCATGTAGGAAACTCTGGTGAAGTGGATCTCCTGGAGAGATCCTTCCCCACTGGCAGTCAGCTCTTAAATGGCTCTAGGAGAGGTGCAGCCTGGCTCCACCCCTTCCAGCAGCACAGGTGAGTTGCCTTCAGCTGTGTTCCCAGGGCTGACTCAGTGCTCACCTCAGGTGATCAATCAGGGGTTCAGGCCATGATTCAGTAGTTCCCATACACTTTTAAAACCTGAGATGAGGGAAAATAAAAAGAAGGAAAATAGGGGTAAAATTCTGGGTAGATATACTTTTCATATATATTCTTTTAAAACTCTGGAACTGTGAGTTTGTACTGTGCTTTGATTTTGCTCTGTTGTCATTTATTTTTAATAACGCGGTAGATGTATGTATTCACAACATCTGAGAACACTTCTAAGGAATGAGAAGTGTGAGTTAAAACTGCTGACGTGGCAGGAAAGTGGTGGGGAGCTTCTGGAAGGATTTAGTTCTTTGTATTTCAACATCTGTGAGATTTGGGCTGTTGGTTAGAGGTTTGTTTTTTTGTTTTTTTTTTCTGGGAAAGCAAGACAGGTAGGAAATGGGCTCAAAATGTTTGTGAACAAGTAAGAAGCATACTACTTGTAAAAAGTAAAGATCTGAATGGTTTTGTGGCAGTACGATGCATGGGAAGCTTTGGGTAGGTGCTAGGTATCGTGCTGCTGCAAGGGACAGACGGACGTTTTGTGTGTGCAGTATGTTCCCACTGACCGTATTTTCCCCTGTAGGTGACAGTGGAAGAAGTGATGGCCACTACTGCGTATCTGGATCTCTTTCTGCGTAGCGTTTCAGAGCCAGCCCTCCTTAAGATTTTTCTCCGTTTTATTCTGCTGCACCGACATGAGAACGTGCACATCCTAGATACACTTACTAGCCGAATCAACACGCCATTCCGGGTAAGATAAGCAGGAAACAAGTTCAGTTTTTCATGTGGGTTTAGGTAAACTAATTAAACAGGAAAGGGAAGTTCCTGTTTATCTAGTTAGTTTTTTCCCCCATCCTAATGTGTACCTTTTCATTTTTAATACTTTGTTTGCGTTCTGGTGTCTAGCTGTAGCCGTGCTAAGAAGTTGATAAATGTGTGAAGTGGTTTTACATGTGCAGGAAATGGGGTAAAGGTAGATGAGGGTCTTTGGAGGTCTAAATTCTGTCTGAGAAGTAAACTTGGAAGCATTTATATTCTGGGTAATGGTGAATTAGTGCTGCCAAGACAATGCATCCCTAGGACTTCAGAACGTAACCAAGGCTAGTAACACTTTCTATCTTTGCAGTTCTGCCAAGCAATAGGTATTTGCAAATGATCTTTGTAGGAGACAGTGGGAGCTCCACAAGGATGTCTTCAAATTGCTTAAGTTGAGAACTGCAGTATTGCCAGTGGAGTTCTCAGGAACCAAGTGTGCATTGCTCTAGCATGTTTGCTTAACTGTTATACTGCCAGCTTTCTTGTTTCATTAAAGCAAGGCACTTTCTTGCTCAAGTGATCAGATTGCTCCTTCCTTTTGTTTCTTCACTCCTCTGTGCAGTAAGGTTTATCTCAAATTTGCAGTGAGCCCCTTCTCAGTATAGGCGTAATGTACCACAGTGACTGGGAGTTAGCTGAGGTAACAGTTTGATCTTCTGGCACAGCAAGTGAATACTTGTTGCACTGGATGACCCTTTGGAGCTTTGTTTGGCTGGCAGCCTTGGCTGAATCCTGCACGATGCACGGCTTTGTGGATAAAATACAGTATAATGTTTTGGGGCATGAGAAGCCAGAACACCAGCATGTGCACTGAATTTGTGCATTAGAGACATTGTCTGAAATTTGTTTTGAAATGTGGGTGCGATGCAAATATGGATATATGCTGCTGTTACTGCATCCCTAAGATGGATTAAATCTGAAAACTGAAACAGCTTCTGTCGACAAAAATGCAAATGCTGTTGTCTCTGATAATCATTAATTACTGTTCCATAGGCAAACAAGATTGGAATTGTAAAGAATCCTTCTGCTGAGTAACTCAGGATCTCAGCCAAAACGGTTCTGTGATACTAAATGAGTTTGCCGCAGTACAGCTTGGCCAAGTGCAGAAGCCAGAACTGCAGCCTTCTGTTTGGTTTTTGTAGCGCAGAAACTTTATATGTTATCTCTTGAAAATACTTCTTAATAATTCACCCAGGATTAAGCTTACATACAGACAGGTGGCCAAAAAGCACTTGTGAAGTCCTGCACTTTTTATCTCCTGGTAGTACATGGAATCGTTTCTTCTTATGAGGCAAAAAATTTGACTAGCTTTTCTTCTTTGAAAGATTCTTGATTTCTCATTTCTCTTTGCAACCATATTGCAAATGGTTTCCTATAAGCTGCAATTTTTTAAATGCTGGAAAATTTAAGGAATTAGCAGGTTTTGAACATTCACACTATGAAGAACAGTTAGACTTGGTTCTCAGTTTCACAGAGGAAATAAGAATTCCCATTTTACCATTTCCCCACGAAAGTACAGCTTTTGTATAAGGATCTCACTTCTTCGTCAAGCTTGCTCTGCTGCTCTTCAACTTCTACCTCTATATTTCCATTAAGACCTGGAGTTCAGCTTTTTTCTTTCTTTCTTTACTGCTCTTTTACTTTCTCTTGCTATTTTTGTAGGCATGAGATCTTGGACTAGCAAGGACTTTCCTGTTGATTTCTGTTACGAGCTTTGGACAATGCTGGCAGGGCGATGGATTTGAGCTCTGCTTTGCTTCACAGCAGGCTAGCTCATAAGCTTTCTCTGGCCGTCTTCTCTCAGTGCCTGGCTGTGCTTTATTACCTATGTGCGTGTTCACATCCCAGCTTGCTTTTTGAGTGCGGGGCTTATTCGCTCTCTTGTTTTTCTCAGGGTGTTAGTTTAATGACCAAACTAGAAAAGGTGATCAAAGAAACTTTTGCTTTTCAGAGGCTATCAAGTAGGGCTTATTTAAAATTTAGCATTTAATTGTTCCACAGAGATGGAAACCAAGTAAGGGAAAATATACATATGGTAATATATAGTCTAAAAGAAGTCTGTGCATTCCTCTGGTTGTGCTCAGTGTGGACAGCTGATCATCCTGTAGGGGAGCTGAGTCACTGGGCTGAAAAAGAGAATGGAAATAGCGAAACAAAGTGCCTTTTAAGTTGACTTTCTTGTGAAATCATGGGCTGGAGAGGAACAGCAATGTGCTGTTGCAGTTAGTACAGAGAATTTTAACAGTGGGAGGAAGAAGAGTGACTGCAGAGGAAAGGAGGAAATTCCACAGTTGGAAAGAGAAGCCATGCCTGGGAATGATGTGAGATTTAATCCTGAATGAATTACAAAGGACATTTGCTGACTGAAAAGAGGCAGAGAAATATCTATAGCTTTTTCTTTATCTTTATCTGGTTCCTTTTTAGCTACTGAAAAGTGCAGTTTACTTCATGTACTAATTATTTGAGTTTACATTACTAGTATAATGAGAGGCAAGAATAAAACACCAACTTGAAACTCTAGGAAGTCAATTAATGCTAAAAAATTCTCACAAGAGTCAGCCTAGCCCTGAATCTAAGCCAGCTGCAAGATGCTATTTCCAGGAAAGAGCAGCACGGGAGTAAATGCCCAAGGAAAAACGCATTAAAAGGCAGTGAAGTAATGATTCTGTGGTTCGTGAAAATTGATGAAAGCTTAGAGATCATTCTTCTACTGTATTGGACACATTTCTACAAGCAAGCTTATAGAAATACACTGTATGGTAGTTTTGAAAGATTTGTGTCTTAAGTAGAGACCAGAAAACCTGTGAATCCTAGTTTTTAGTCTGTTGTAAGACTAGTGTGGAAGTGGGGTGCCTGTCACAGAATGAATATGATTTTTGCCTCTGCTGCGTGTGACTGCTGAAGTACTTGCTGATAAGTATATTAGTCAGACCTTTCCCAAAGAAGATACACATGCAATTCCAGTGAGCAGTACTGTTTTTCTTTCTTTTCTTCTGGTCTCACAGAGAGGATCTTCATGCCACAGCTCCCAGCTGTCCAGGTGGCCTCTAATGTGGGGATGGAGAGTGATCCATATGGAGTAGATTCTGATAAAAATGACTTGTGTAGTCCTGATCTACTTCAGTAAATTCAGCAATAGGTATAAAGGCACTGAGGTATAGGAGCATTCAGCTTCTTAATGTGCACAACACTCATCATTCTTAGTATGCTAAGCAGGAACTTTTAAGTAGTTTTGAATTTTTTCTTTTGTTTTCAGAAAAACCTCTTGTTGATTCAAATTCTGTGTCAGCAGTAAAACCTAATACTTACCTTAGAAGTTACAGGGTTCCCTTCATGCTGGGTTAAACTAATAAATTTAGAAAAAAAAAAGTAATTGAAAAGACTGGAAAATTATTGCTTTCACGTTCTAGATAAGTTAATGCAAAAACCTTGTAGAGAATACTTTAAGTAATTTTTTTTTTGAAGGAAAATTTGGAATCATACATGACTAAAATGTCAAATGGTATGTGTATAGCTGTTGGCGACAAAATCCTGTAGGGATGCTGGCAAATTGAAGTAGCATACTAACGGTTTCTTGAAGTGGTACGTTCTGGTGGAGTCATTCTGTTAGACAGAATGCAAGAAAGATTGGAAAGGTACTATTTCCAGATTGCAATCTGATGACATTTATCATTTTTCAGCTCTGTGTGGTCTCCTTAGCATTGTTCAGAACGCTCATTGGCTTGCACTGTGAAGATGTGATGTTGCAGCTAGTTTTAAGGTAAAGCCCAAACTCCTTTTTCAACTTTGTCCTAATTCTGGGACACAGAGACTCAGACAATAGGCATAGAGCTAGATGGACGTTCTCCAAGAGAGCAGAAATTCAAGGAGCTACAGAGATAAGAATATTTATGATTCTGGCAAAAGCATGCTAGGCCTGTAGGAGCGTGATTTATGCTCTGTGATCTTCAGGAATAAGAGATTCTTCTTGTGATTTATTTCTATAAACATGAGAGAAGAAAAGCTGAGAATGTATTTATCACTCTCAAACTGCTTATTTCCTGCTTTTAAACATATAATTTTTCTCTCCAGCATGTTTTCTTTAGTTGATTATATATGCACTGTGTTACAAGGAACTTATGTAGATGCTTCCAGCCTTCACCTCTGTTTTTCCTCTTTCCCAAAGAATACTTCAGCTTCCTGAACTGTTGTTCATGGATCACTATATAATGTACTGAATGCATTGATTATTTTTGCATTTATCTGATTGTCCCATAGGCTGCTGCTGAACACACAATTTTAATTCTGGTGGGTGGATTAGATTAGAGTTGACAATTTCTGTGGAAGTACTGGTGTAGCTTAATCAGGCTTCTAACACAGTGGAAGGCATCAGTGTTTCAGTCCCTCCACTGATAGGCATTAAGGTGAAATTCCCTGAGTGCCTGGGAGTGGTGTTAGGACATCTGTGAACTCAAGTTATGTTGGGACTCCCCTACTAACCAGCGGTACAGTTGTATTCAGACTGTTGTTTATTTATTTAGGGAATCCTTTAAAATTTGGTTTCCTTTTAAAATGGTAAAACATCAGCGCTCTAAAAATATTAAACATGACAATGTGCTTCCTCTGTCCCTTGTTTTCCCCGTAGCTTTTTTCCTCTTGCCCAAGATCTCTTGATTTAGAGCAGAGAAACACCTTGATGACCTTTCCTGCTGGCTGCTTGCCTGGCACATGTAAACTGACTCTGTCTCTATTTCCTTGGAAAACAAATAAATTAAAGATTCTGAGACAGAACTCATTCACACTGGGACCAAACCACACCGCTAGCCTTTGACTTCTGCCCACCCTATGCTTCCTTCATCCCTTCCTACAGCAGGCTTGCTCTGACCTGTGAAGGGCTGCTCATTCCCCCATTCTGATGCAACTGATCTCCCATCTCTGCTTGTCCTGACAGTTCCTCATTGAACTGTAGCTTCACAATGCAAAGAGTTGGGGTTTCATGCTCTTGAGAGATTTAGAATATAGATCACTGTCAAGGTTACTGTTATTCTACTTTGAAGAAGGAAGGAAGGTGTGAAGGGACTTTTGTATGTTTTTGTTTTCTCTCACGTGGAAGGATGTAGTAATGCTAGGCTGCTGTTTCAGGTATCTGATCCCATGTAACCACATGATGTTGAGCCAGCGAAGGGCTGTGAAAGAGAGAGATTGTTACTCCGTATCTGCTGCAAAACTGCTTGCCCTGACACCGGTCTGCTGCTCCACTGGGATCACCTTGGCTCTAGAAAGCCAAGGAAAAGATTATATTCTCTGGACAAAAGCAGCTCAAACTAAAGGTAATTGGTGCTCAAGGGAAGACCAGATCATGAACTGAATTGAGTTTGGTAGTAGCTCAGGCGGAACAAAAATAGTGGGCAACAACAAACTGGGCAGTTAGGCTGCACTGGAAAGCTTATTTAATTCCTTCCGTGGGTCCAGGTGTATTGAAACCTTATTCAACTTGGGTAGCTGTTAAAATATTCATTCACAGAAATAATGTACAGGTACTTGACAATGGCACTTGCAGGTTCTGAGCGCTCGCTGTTGTTTTACAGATTGGGAGTGAGCTGATTTCTCAGAAAATGGGTTACAGTGCTCACTTGGCAGTAGGAACAACTCTAGTGCAGTCATATCTCTAAATTGAGTTCTTCCTGCCTTATTGGATGACTGGGGATAAAGATTCCACCTGCCATGTTAGTAACTGCCTTGCTAGAGAACTTGGGGGCTTTTTTATTGTGTCGTGGTATGAGTAATCTTCTTTACTTTCAGGTTCTGTTAGAGGCATTTCTGAATCTGCCTGCATCGTGGAATTTGGAAGAGCTGTGGATATCAGCTACCTCCAGTACCTGGGAGAAGCTCAAGAAGCCATCCTCCAGTGTCTGAAAGATTGTAAGGTCTGGTCTGCTTTATACGATGGAGTAAATCCTGATCCCGAGACCTTTATCCAAGCGCTTGCTGAGGAGAACACTACAGATGTGGAACACCCCATGTTTCGTCTCCAGCAAAGGACACCCAGCTTGTGTAGCTCCTCTCAAACAGCACCAGCGGGCGAGAAGATGCAGCTGGAGCTGGAATGGGATGATAGCTACGACACAGGGATTTCTCCTGGCTCTGATGTGAGCTCACTCCAGCAGTATGATGATCTGGGAAATACAGAGACGCAGATGCCCGCAGTGCCACCGAAACATATTCAGGAGATGAAAAAAAATGCTATCATGCTTGTCAAAGGTTCTTACATAGAGGATTCAGACTTTCAGGATGATGTTATGGTTTACAGATTATGTGCCCAGAAGGATATACAGGATGATGACAACTCCAAGGAGAAAACTTCAAATGCGTCCAGAGAACATCAGGTCCAAAGCCAGACTGTTGTCAATGGGCCTCTCTCTAACAGCCAGCTGGAAGTGGGCGTGGATGAGCAGAGTGAAAAAAAATCAAGCTTGACTCCAAGTGTAACGAAAGAACAAATAAACCAGAAAATGGTGGAGACTGATCCACAGCCTGACTTAGAGTTGAAGCTTCAGGAGGCAGATAATTGCTTAAGCTCACAAATGCTGAGCACAGATGGTGAGGATTTCATTGCACAGTATGACAAAATTATTAAGGAACTGGATCCAAACAATGCAAGCGTGGAAGAGCAAAAGGTAGACACTCCAGACCCCGTGTCTCCTGCAGAAGAGGAGGAGGACTTTGAGAATTTCTCAGCAGATACCCCTTCTGCAGAGAGCACATCATCTCCCTTTGGACCAAAGGAGGATGCATCTCCCAAGCGCGCTGCGAGGAGTCAGAGTGCTCCATTCACAGGTGGAATGTCCTGTTAGTTACATACCTAGCAAATACAGGAAGGCATGGTGATCACAGGTGACCAAGTGTAATTGCAGTGCACAGCACCAGCATAGAGCTGGGAACAGCCCTTACACTAAAGAGTGTATGCCCAAATAGCTGAGGCTGGCCCAAGGAGAATCAAAGAGATTCAGCTTGGAAGTAGAGCAGAGCCAGTGTCAATGTAGTGACAACAAATGGTGGTGGTTCTGTTCTTTTCTGGCTACTTCAAAGAACAAAAACAAAAAAAACCCCACGAACAAATCTTGGGATTATGTTTCTTGTGTGTCCCAGCACTAGCGTCCTAGGATAAACTTCTTCAATTGAAAGTCGAGTGTAGTAACGGTTCTAATGTATAGAGCCCAGGTAAATAATTTGTCTTTCCGGTGGCTGGCACCTCTCATGCTGTAGCTGTGATGTCACGTTGCCTTTTTCACCCCTTCTGCTAATTCACATTTTAGCACGAGGTGGCAGCACTGGTGCCACATCTGCCCGCGCCTCTCTGTGGGAACTGTCCTGGCGCCTTGGTCCTCAAACGCCCCAGCAGCCTTCGCAGTGGGTAGAGACTTTTCTGTCTTGTGCCAGACAGCAAGTTAAGTTTGTTCTCTAGAGACTGCCCAAGCAGGAATGAAATTGCTACGGGAGGGTAGAGTGTGCTTTTGATCAGTGTTTGTGCAGCTCCTTGCGTTGCAGGCTCCTGATCTTTAATTAGGTCTCCTGGATACCACAGTAATGCAAATAATAATAAAAAAAATAACAATAGCTTGTCTAGGTTTTCTCATCCTAAAGAAGACCTCTGTAATCGGGCTTCTTGTTCATTTGGAAGGAGGGGGGAAAGCATTCATTTGTATACATTGAAATGCAGACCTTTCCTGGTCAGCTGTGGCCAGCCTGCCTGGCACTGTATCTTAATTGAAAGCCTTAGCCTGTTTATCCAGTCCGTTTACTGTTTTTACTGCAGTGGTCATTTCCTCGTACCACAGACTAATCACGTTCAAACCTTTCCATTTCTCATTATCTGCTGTCAAATGTAACTCAAAAAATGTCATCCCTGTCTCTTCATCCAGTCCCTTCTTGCTTTAAAGAAAACAGCTAAACAGTGCCCAACCACTGCAAAAACCCGCTTTCTGCTTCCAGTCCACAACATTTTTTACTCTTCGGGTATTCACCTTGCTGTAGTGATTGCATTGTAGCTTAGTGATTGCAGGTAAGGAGTTGCTCATAAAAATGCCTCAGAAATGGGAAATTGCATTGCCTTTCAAATATAATGCTGTTCTACTTAATTTGAAATGCTATATTATGTATGTGATAAAGGGGGAGCTTCTTGCTACAGAGTCAGATAACCAGAGGGTACTACACTCAGTGACTCAGCGGTACAGAGATACTCTCCTTGGGCTCACAGATCTGTGAAGAAAATGTCCCATTGGTGTCTGTGTCCAATTTGAGGGCATTATCACAGTCATCCATGTTTTCCCCTGAGTAAAGAACGAATGTGATGTTCAGAAACAGTGCTTGACTTCATGGCTACAAGGAGATGAAGTCAGGAAAGGAACACTTTTTTTGTCTTCTCGCTAGTTAATACTGTTTCTTCCCAGACTTGCAAACTCTGCTCACTTCCTCTTTTTTATTCTAATGATTTATTGAAAACTAAGAATTTTGTATTGGGAAGTTCAAGAGAAGTGGCATACCTTTGTTCAAATTGTCTAACTTCAGCTTTATCTACTCAGATTTGGAATTTGACTTGCATGAGAGAAACCGCGATCTACCTCTGCTGCTACTGCAATCCCTGCTGTCCCAAGGGAGCTCCCTTTGCACTGTGGTCCTCAGGGTTCTTTGCAATTGTCCCCATGGACACAGGAGGAGGAAGCAGTAGGTTCTGTAGGGGTAGGAGAAACTATCTCAGCCAAGGGGCTTTGAGGCTGTGTGCCTGGGCAAGAGGGTTTATGTACTTGCATTGTCAGTGCTTCTGTATTTTAGTGGTTGCCCTGCAACATGAAGGCACAAACTAAAACTATTGTTTATTGCTGACATTTACATGACAAAGAGTACACTTACAAATAATTTTGCTTATAAGTCTGTTTTCATGTTTTTCCTGCTTTGTGTGACTGCACTATTGAAAATGTGTTTCCTTGTGATGTGGCTATCACAGCTTGTGATTTTTTTTGTTTAGAGTAGCATTTTTGTGGTTGCTTTACAACACCTTGTTGTTTTGGTGAGACAAGAAGTCTAAGTTATAAGGGTACTTCACCAGTCCCTCTGTGCAAATAAGGCACAGTGCCAGTGGACAGGTTCTGGTGGAGTGTGAGGAGGGCCGCAAACATGATCCAAGGGATGGAACACCTCTCCTACAAGGACTGGCTGGGAGAGCTGGGGCTGTTCAGCCTGGAGAGAGAAGAGACTGGGGAGACCTGAGAGCAGCCTTTCAGTATCTGAAGGGGAACTACATGAAAGAAGGGGATGGACTATTAGCAGGGTCTGTGGTGACAGAACAAGGGCAAATGGTTTCAAGCTCATAGAGGGTTGATTTAGGTTAGATTTAAAGAAAAGTCTTGTACAGTAAGGATGGTGAGGCACTGGAACAGGTTGCCTAGTGATGTGGTGGATGCCCCATCCGTGGAGACTTTCAAGTCCAGGCTGGATCAGGCTTTGGGCAACCTGATCTGGCTGTGGTGTCCCTGTGCATTGCAGGGGAGTAGGATTAGATGACCTTTAAAGGTCCCAGCTAACTCTAAGGATGCTATGATTCTTCAGTGGTACTATTCTGATTAACTTCAAAAGGAGTGAAATAATAGACCATAACACATGAGGCTAAATCCTTATTGGCACACGTAAAGTAGAATAATTATGTACATTGAATATGCCATTAACGTAACTAGCTTGCTAGTCAAATTGCTTCTACTTATGAAAGCTTTTAACATCCCTGTTAAGTCTATTTTGTCTGTTCAGATAAGTTTTGTTTTTCCTCCTTGCTGGCTTTAATTAGCATGAAGGAGGTTTGATTTGGTTGGTTATGATGATCAAAATTTCTTTCACATGCTTATTTCCTGGATCTCACAGTTTTTCTTCTGTGAAAACAGAAGCATTGGTTCCTTCTCTCTTCTTTGCAGGACCATTTATCAGCGTGGTGTTGTCCAAGCTGGAGAACATGCTGGAGAACTCCTTGCATGTGAATTTGCTGCTTATTGGGATTATTACTCAGCTAGCAAGTTACCCCCAGCCTCTTCTTCGCTCCTTTCTGCTCAACACCAACATGGTGTTTCAGCCCAGCGTACGGTCACTTTATCAGGTATTTGCCCACAAGCCTTAGTTCTGCCTACCGGAACGGTATTTTTGGTGTCTCGTTAATTCTTCAGCTCTTTCCAGTTTCACCTGTTGCTTTCCCTCCCATCTGAGAGCCTCGCATCTTGTTTCAGTGTTTTAATTATATTGGTGCAAAGAGCTGAAAATTCTGTATGACCATAACTTTTATTGTTAAGTCTTCTTTAATGCAGCTGGAGAGCCTGAGTGTTCAGTCAGTGGCAGCACTGGGAGCAAGGGAGGAAGAAGTAATTGTTACTGTTGTTTTGGCAGGTGCTGGCATCTGTGAAAAATAAAATTGAACATTTCGCTTCTATGGAAAAAGACTTCCCAGATCTTCTCCTGGAGGCCCAACAGTACTTAGTTTTTCGTGTGGACATGTCTGATGCCGCTGAAGAACTGCTAACCAAAGGTAAATGTTAACTGCACTCAGAGGAGTGCTGGGTGGAATGAATCACCAGTTACCTTTCTCATTTGCTACAGCATGATTAAAAGTAGGTGTGGTGCATTATACATATCATTAACCAGATGTAGCCTTCTGGCTTTAAACTGATGGTCCTCAGTAGGCCGCAGTATATGGATCTATCTGGATATGCTTTGCTCTTTAGAAGCTTTTATTGTCTTTGCTACAGAGAATGTCTGTTCAAAGGAGTAACAAAATCAGCTCTTGCTTGGCTTACTGTTGCTTTGGTTGTAAACAAACTTGCTTTCAAGGCATGAGGTGAGACAGCATATTGTGTGATTGTATTTTGTTTTTAGCCTGACCTTCAGCTAGTCGTTAGTTCTGGTGTTTTTTGTTGTTGGTGGTCGTTCTGTGGGGTTGTTTTTTTGTTTTTTGTTTTTTTTTTTTTTTGTATGTTAGAGAGGACAGAAATCCAGAATGAGTTGGTTTCTGCAACGACTGAATAAGGCCTCATATGATCGTTTGGGCTTTTACTGATGGAGGTGGGTATGAGCCAGAGAACTTCAAATGTGCTTTCTGGAATGAAAGCATGAAACAGAAACATAAATGGGTATTATAAGTCAGGACATTTCAAAAACAATGGGGAGTTAAGCAGGTATCACCTCAGCTTTCCTGGGGACTTGTGTTATGTCATCTGGTTCTCAAAGACAGTGTGCTACACCTGGTGAAGAATCTTACATTCTCACTGAGAAATTTCCCAAAGCAGCAGGGTGATGGGGGTATCGCTGGCACCCTGCCCTGGGGATGTATCAATTCTCAGCTTGTCGCTAAGCAAGCAGCATTGGGTGCAGGTTTCCCTTAAAAACAATTTCCTGTGTGATAGGAATGCACAGAATTTGCTGAGAGCTGTGACCACAGGGATTGAGGGCTCAGAATCAGGGTTCAAGAGAGGCTGCATTCAGAGATGTGTTCTCGTGCATCATTTGGAATTGTTAACAATCATCCTGCTTTGCCTTTACCACTGCGAAGTTAGTAGTATTTTTCTTGGATTTCCAGAGGTGTAGAAAGCAGGGCTTTTTATGCATCTTCTTCATTGTGTTTTCATTTTGCAGGGCTCTGAATAGTAATTTACCTAGCTTCTAGTCAGCATGGTGCGCATCTCTGAGGTTTGCAGCGCATCTAGTCAGCAAAAATTACCATCTCACTAAGAATTAGTCTGTGAAAGATGCATGCTGTAAGTGAGCTGTGTATTGCAAACATCTGCAGGGTGTTAGGCTCCACATCCTGGTACCACATGTGAGGAAGCCTTACGGTTACATGATACTGTAGCTGGCGTATGCGACAAGATCAGGAGGCAACATTTGGTGTCCTTTTCCAGGTCAAACACAAACTTCTTTAGAATGCATTCCGAATGGAAATTCATCTAGCTGAATAAACTTGCAAGCCTTACACTTCAAAGTTTTTAGTGCCTAGTAGTTGTACCTCAGTTAAATAAAACAGTAATTTTTGGAATTTATTTGTGCTTCTTATTTTATGTCAGTTTTCTTTTGTGGGCTTTAGAAATTGCCAGACTGACTCATGCGGATCATTAATTAGGATCTCAAAACAAGGCTGCTTAGTCAGACTGTCGGTACATTTTCTTCAGTCTTGTGGCAACCCCTGTAAAGAAGGTATCTCTTGACAAATAGATGGAGAGGATATAAATGTCTGGGGAACTGCACATTTGGTTCCCAGCAAGTCTGGTGATGCAAACAGTCCAACTGTACTTCTTAGGGCAAGCTGGCTCACTAATCCTTTAGCACGTTGCAGGTCATTGCATTGATTCCTACAGAATTCCTACAGAATTCACATCTGAAAAAGAGAAGCCAGATGCAGTGGGGAACAAAAATGTAAAAATGAAGTACTCCAGAGCACATTTGCCTTCCCTTGGTAGTGACAGTCTTCAAAAGCATTCAAACAGAAAACGCCAATCAGTTAGTTTCTGCTTGCAGCACTGTGTGTTTTGCTCACATGGCAGTTTGGGTTAGGGTTAGATATGAACAACTGTTGTGATCCCATATGCAATGCTGCCCGTCTTTCAGCGCTCTGGTAACTATCTCAGAGCACTCACTTTTGCAATTGCACCCTGACTGCAGAAGGAAGCAGACCATCTTGATTGAAGAAAAACCAAATCTCTGGTCCCTTGACCATCTTTCTCTGCTTTTTATTTATATATATATATATATATATATATATACATATGTTTAAATAAAACAAAATCACAGTGGTTTTGGTTGAACTGCATCAATTTTGGTGCTTTATGAAGGGAACAGTTTAAAAACATGCAAGCTTTGGCAGCTTACTAGCATTCTGAATGTGTTGGCTAAACTATTTAAAATACTTACATTGTTTAGGAAATGTTCTGAGATTGTAAGAGAATCTCTCAAAGTAAATCTTCAAAGGAAGCTCAGAACTTCCTCTTTTGATTGTAATTCATAATTTAGGTTGTTTTTCCTCCCGTATTCAGAATTTTCCACAGAACTGATGTTCCCGTACTGTGTCTCCGGTAGATAAAAACTTGCAGAATAACAGCATGAATGATTGATAAGTCTGGAGCTGGAAAGGTTTTTTGGAACTCGAGAAAAGTACAGTTCTGTTAGATGATTAAGATTAAAATTTCTCTTGAGGAGTTGAAAGTCTACTATGCTGGAGGAGAACTCCAGGCAAGAAACCAGAGTGCAGAGCTGGTGAGCAGAGGGATCCTCTGCCACGTGGAGAGAGGCACCCAGCTGGGGGTACCCCATCCGCTTCTTGCAGAGCTTTCAAAAAAACCTTCACATAACCACGGACTGAGTGGGTCTCACACCAACTGAGTGGCTTTAAGGGAAACCTCTGAAGGCGGTGATGTGGTATTTGGCTTATCTGCAGAGTGAGACTTAATATGATAGGGTTTTTTTTGGTCTGGTTTTATTTTTGTGGGTGTGCGTGTGCACTTCAATGATATGCAGCTCATGAGAACACCCACTTGTAAGTCAGACAGGATGCTATCTGGCTGCGATTCCAGGCCTTGTGACATGTGGAGCAGTGAGTACTGCAATTTATTTTTTTCTTCCTATTTCTTTCCACCCGTTTTAGTTTTTGTCACCGTTTTAGTTTCATTGAACAGCATTTAATTAAAGCGCGTTCTACTTCAGGTTGAATCAAGGAGCGGCTGATTGACATTTTAGTGCTGCAGTCTCTGTAATTCCATGCATCCTGATGCTTGAGCCCTGATCCTCTGAACTCTGGCACCAGAGATCATATAGCTCTCAATGCTGTGCTGACCACGTAGTGGTTTTAATTTGTTCTTTTTAAAAAATTATTACTTTTAAATATTTAGCTTCTTTACAGGGAGCAGAAGAGTAGTTGGCTGAGGCTAAAAAATGAATTTTCAAAAGTTTTTTCCTTCAGTTTTTAGCTTGCTTCAAACTCACATGGCAATTTTGATAGCTCGGCTTCAAGCCCACTTACACAATGATTCATGGAGGAGGAGAGAGAAGTGAAGTCAGAGTGATATTTTGATCCGGGGGAGGGCTAGAGTATAGGATCATTTTAAATTGAGAAAGCCATGCTGGGACTAATGGTAGATATTATCTGTTATTTCATAAGGTAAATCCATATTATTCTTTCCCTTGACTCCTTTCCTGCCCACATATTTTTCTCATCAGAGCTGCAACTGAATAATACATAACCCAGGGAAAGATGGCTAATAAAAAATGCAACAGAAGCAGGCCATGTAGGACTTAAAACTGTCGGATTAGTGGAGTATCTGCCAGCACAGTCTGAGTACTGCGAACTACAGCTCTGAACACAATCCCTGAAAACTGCATCTAGTTGCTGGACAAATACTTTGTGTGTTCAATATACTGAGTGTTGTTTGTTGTTTTTTTTTTTCTTCTTTTCCTTCCTGGCCCTAGGTAACGTCCTGCATGGCAGCAGCGTGGGGAGAGGAAGGAGCCTCTCAGAAGCCCCCCCAGCCATGCTCCAGCCTTTCCTGGGACACAAGGGAAAGAGGAGCCTGGCTCACCCCAGCCTTCCCGTGCACGTGAGGAATGCTGTGCTCGCAGCTGCCCTTTTCCCAGAGTTCCTGAAGGAGCTGGCAGCTCTTGCACAGGAACACTCCATTTTATATTACAAAGTACCGGGGGACTTTGAGGATTATTATTAGTGGGTTTTTCTAAAGTAGGTTGGTTTATTTTTTTGAAGAAAGAAAACTGTCAGAGTTTGAACTGATTATTTTTTACTAGTGCAAAGCTGCTTACGAAAGAAAGTTCTACTTCACTATTTCCTGAAAATACTTGATTTGAGAGGGAAGGAAGAGGCAGGATGCTATTCCGCATTACTTTATATTGGGCCTTACAACTTTCCTCTGTGCTACATGACTTATTTGAGAGATTTCTCACATTGCTGTTAGAGCAGCTCCCTGAGCTCACCTCCTTGTTACACAGGTGCCCCTCTTTACTGCCACTGTCTCCTGTTGAATTTTCAGGCACTTAAATAAGGTGGACTAAGAGGGGGCAAATGTTCCAGCTTTTTTTACTTCAGAAATACTCCTCTCAAAAGCCTGTTGTTAGAACACAGTTGGTCTGGAAAAGCACTGCCGCAGGGAGAAAGTTTGGGGAAAAGAAACGCGTGCAAAATGTGCACAAAACCCTTTTCTGTGAAGGGCTGTGCTTCTCCGTGGCTTTGTCCTCCTCCCTGCTCCCCTTCCCTGGGACGAGGATCATGCCAGCACACCACTGAGAAGCCCTCCTTAGCCAGTAGCTCAGGTTTGTGAATTCAAGTGATCTTATGTGTGTTAAACCCATGACTAGCTGCAAGCAGGTGCTGGGCTCTACACATACCGCATTGCCTTATGTTGCAGACAGATCTGCGGCTATCAGCTGTTGGTCTTTGAAGTCAGATGAACTGTGTAAGTGGATGTGGACTGCAGACTGCCTGGAATTTTCCTTGCAGTTTCTCAGCGTTCTTTAATATCTACTGCACTGCTACCTAAACTCTCAAGCATGCCTTATTTAGTAAGATTTGCACAAAGTACAAAACAAAGTGTGTCTATGCAAATGGTAATTAATTTGTTGTTTGTTTTTATGCTTATTTTAATAAGCTAAGGAACAGCATTCAGTTTCTTTCAGTAGTATTAAAAGGACAGCAGGCTGTTTTTGTCAATCATTTCTTCCCCCCATATTTTAAGGGAAAACGTTTGCACTCTCCTGAAAGCTGTTCTCTCTTACTGCTCTTTTGTGGGGGGGTTATGGGGAGAAGTTGAATACTGTTTGTTTACTTTTCATTTAGGGGTTGACTTTTCCTAGTATTGCACTTTTGGGATAGTGAGGGGAGGAGCGGGCTATTCACCAGCTGCAGAATAGGAAGCAGCAATAGGGAGAGCTGTCTGCTAGTGACTAACTGCTTGAGAAAATTCTCGTCTCTGAGTAATGGGCTTCATTAGAAGAACCCAAGCATGATGAATTGGTGCATCACTACTGCATTTCGTCTTATCTTAGTAGCATAATTGTGCTTCCAGGGTGCTGTGGTTGGCTCCATAAAGAGGAGTTTCATTCAAGAAAGCCTTACATCCACTTCTTCCAGGAAAAAAATTTGACAGCCACTCCAGGAAATTTAAAGAAATGGAAATAAAAAATAACATTTGTGTGAATAAATTCTGCTGACTGTAATTCCATTATTCTGGAAAACTCCAAAATCACATCCCAATTTTCAAATATGCTTTCTCAGAGATAGCAAGGGAGAAGCTTAGGATCTAAAGTATACTTAGTTGAAGAACAAAACACATTAAGAAACAAAAAACAGCAAAAACACCCCCAGAAGAGTCCAATTAATTACAGGTCAGTTCTTGTGGACCCTGCAGTGCAATTTGAACTCCGAAAGTCTTTCGATGCCTCTGAAAAATGCTACCTTTCATGTGCAAGCTGTGAGAAGCATTCATTGTCGGACTGCTGTAGGCTATTCCAGGGAAGAAAATCCCTAAGTGTACCTCTAACAAGATCACCTCAACAACTTCTCTGGATCTGCTTCCACTTGTTTGCTGTACAGTCATCACGTCCACCATGGTGGAAGGGTCACACTGCTTCTCAACTGACACTAGTGTGCTTGCACTTATAACTTGATGGCTTTGTTATTTTGCGTGTGTGGTTTTTTTTTCCTTTTTAAACAGCATTGCATCACCATCCTGTAAGTCACCTCTGACCTTCACATGACTATTTCGCCTCACAAGCTTCCTTGCAAGCTGGAGCCAGAGCTGTGGGGTTTTTTTTCTTGAATCTTGGTTATCCATGTTCAGGAGAGCTCTTTTTTCTTTCTTTTTCCTTTTTTTATTTTTTTCCTACGATGCTGTTATAGACAAGATATAACTCATAAATACTTCACTGCATCCAGACAAAATCATGGGTCCTTCCCCTACTCTCACTTCTACCCACATGCATTGCTGTCCTTCACGCTGGACTCATCAACCTACTGAAGGGGTTCAGTGGCATTGTATGTGGAAAGTGTTCTGGCACTGTGAGTGTAGAGCCAGGGTGTGCTGCACTCCTCTCCTGCTGGGTACTTTGTGAGCAAAAGCAAAAGCAGTGAATCTGTGTGATAAGCTAACTTCTAGCAGTTCAGAATCAACCGCTAAATTGCAGTAGTAATCATATGTGTTTTTTAAAGAAATCTTTTATTTATTAAAAAGAAAAAAAAAAAAGGAAAAAAAGAATTCTGCAGACTATTGCTTAAGGCAGTAAGCTTACTATGTGAACCATTTTGTTTCTATTCTGAAATAAAAATCTTTGTTTGCTGAGTGGGAGTGATTTCTTCTGAGATTGTTCATTTTACTTGGTGTTATCAACAACTGTGCAAAGACATGGCAATGTTCAGCTTAGCAGGGATGTGCTGTTATTTCGGGTTCTTAAAATGTAGACTGCTCCAAGAAGCACCCGGACATTGGAGGAATGGAAAGATTTTCCTTATGAGCTGCAGTGGAATAAAGTTAGCCCCTGAAATCTAGGATGATGTGGAAGACTTCTTGGTGAAAGGTTGCAACTGTGTTTGTACACAGCGTTCCCTTGTAAGAGGGGAATCTGTCAGCCCCCATAAGGAGGTGGGGAAGTGCACTAACCCCAGCTTAGGGCTACAAAAATGGCCACTGTATGTTTAACACTGTATTTCTTGGTTGTTGAGCTGAATTCGACTTGCAGGTAGGTCTCAGCTGTGATAGAAGCACCGTGTCAGCAGCCAGTGAAAAAATATTGGCAAGGATTGCATCTGCCTGTCTTCAAAATGCAGGAACTGTGATTTATCATGAAAACGTTGATCCTTTGAAGATGAATTGCCTTTTTCTGTGTAAGTTCTTCAGCCCAATGCTTGTTTAATAGGCTCCTTCTTTCCAGTTAGATAATGCATTATACCATCTCTCTTCAATGAGGCATCTTGGTCAAAGGCGGTTCCTGTTATAACTGGGATAAAGCACTTAGCAGTGTTGCTCCAAACAGCATCATCCTTCACATGTACCGATCCTTGAGCATACACATCACTTGGGATTCACGTGCTGTGTTGATGACCCATCTTAAATTAATCTTTTCTCCACGTGCCCCAAAATAAAATGGGATTTTACAGGTGAGCAAGATGTTTGCTAGTGCTGTAGTTCCAGGTATTTGTCCAGGTAACGTCTGAACTTGGATTTTGGAAGAGTTGACACGAAGGCTGCTGGTCTTTGCTGCCTTGTGGCCATGAGAAGGTTCCCTCGGTGGTGCTCGGCTGTGGGAATGCCCTGAGATGTTCCTGTGGCATGACTGGCTCATTATTGCCCTTCTTGTTGAGGTTTGTCACTTTGTGAGAAGGCTAAGTTCACTGATGTGCTGCTGTAACTGCTTTGTGCATTTATTTGCCTTTCAGACTCAATCTGATGCTTTTATTAAGGTTAGTGAATTTCCCAGAGTGGGAGAAAAACACCCAGCAGCTGGGGTGGTCTCTGGGGATTGGCAGCGGCCTTGCCTGGAACAGGAGAACATCTGGCAAGTGGTGCCCAAGCGGAGTCCCTGCCACCAGCACCACTCCACATGCTCCTTGGCTCAGGCACAGGGCCTGAGAGCTACATAGACTCCTCCTTCAGAGAAAAGACTGGCAGACAGACTTGTTGCGTCACCTCCTGTCCAAGGATTTAGGTTCAGAAGGTTAAGTCCTATTTACCAAGAGAAGCACTGTCTCTAGCATGGTGCACAAGTGCTTGCTACTGTTTTGAGTGCTGTGCTTACGCCTCGCACAAGGTTTTATGCTTCAGGAAGGTTTTTAGCTCCTGTAAGAGGCTCTAAAAGCTCTGGATAGGGAAGAAAAGGATGGGAGCTGTGTGATTTGGTGCGGTTAGATTATGTCATTGTATCATTTGAATTTGCAGCCACAGCTCTGGTTTGAGGGCAGCTTGATTTAATAAGCAATTTACTGTGCTGTATTTACTGAAATTGCTATGTCATGCCTGCAGTTTTTGTGACAGTTCCTATTAAGTTGGTAACATTTAAACTGCATCTGCAGTTGTGGATGGAATACCAGGATTTTCTTCCTCCTTTTCTTTTGGCTCTGATACCTTCAGCCCAGTGCAGTAATGCTGCTGCTGCTTCTAGAGCGGACTGAGGTAAGTGTAGCATCGTGTACCTTCTGAACATCATCAGCAGAAACAGAGGGCTCCTGACCCTCTGCTTGCTTACAGAAATGAGAAAATTGAGGGTGAAACACCACAGGTTAGCAGGGGGAACACACACCTGTGTGAATCAGTGAAAATTTACATTTGTGTTTATCCTGATTTAATGGCCAAAAAGGAGAGGTTCAGAGCAAACTTGAGAAAATGAATACGACAGTCTCCTATGGAAACCTCCCAGTTGGGTAGCATTGAGCTATAGTATTCTGGACCAGAATTGTGCCAAGAACAGAAAAAAAACTGATCCTTGTTAGCGTCAGATTTGCATAAGGAGGTGTTTGGATAACACAGGACAGTGGTGGTGGCTGTCGGAGCGAAGGCAGCCGCAGAATGCAGCACTGTTTGGTGACTTTGTGATCCGTGAAGGCCCAGCTCTGAGCAAAGGTGCTTAATTTTTCAGGGGCCTCAGCTTTGCTGAACATGTTGTGGCCCTGCGTCAGTCTACTTCATTTGTTACATGCTCAGCTGGAAGCCTCTTATTTATGAATAGGAGGCATTACTTGTGTTCTTAAACACGTAGTACTTAAAGTGGTGGTTGTTGCTGACTGTGCAAATCTTATTTTGTTCATTGATTATAATGGCTTTGTGTGGCAGCTGGATTAAATTAAGACTGAAGGTTCTGGGCTAGAAGCCCTGATGGAACTTTTGTGCAAAGGCTGCATTTCTCAACCAAGTAACTTTCTCCGGCGCGTCAGCAGGGTGCCTGCATACGATTATGTATTGTGGGCTAAATACCTGCAAACTCACATTTCTGAAGAAGCCAATCCCACAGCAGCTGTACTTTATTACAGTCTCCTTTAAAAATAGCTTGGATTTAGACCAAAAAAATAATAAGTTAAATCCAGGACAATGAAGCTGCACACAACTCAGCGCTGCAACAGCAGCTTGGCCATTGCTCAGCTAAGGTACCTGCCTGTGCTCCAAGGAGAGAGAGAGGGCTCGGGTCTCTGTGCTTGTGGCTGCAGCCTGAGCCCAGGACTCTCATCTCTCTTGGTGCTGCTCCGAGTCCAAGTGCAGCTCTGACCGCTGTCAGGCTTAAAGCCCCAGAACAGTAATAGTTTTGTAAGCTCCTCTAAGGCCAGTCAATGTTGTCTTATGGCAGCAGCTGAGCACTCCTTCTCCTGCTGGAGGTTTGCTTTGTTGTGTTTAAAATCGGGCTGTAGGGCCTGATATGGGCCATGTGCTGGGGCACAGCCAGAAAAGAGGGAGCATTGCTGGCAGTCTTCTGTTCTTGCCACAGCAATCCCTGATTACTGGTCATGCTTAGCCCAGAGGCACTTTTGGATGGAGTGTAAATTTGCCATTGCAGAAAAGGGAGCAGCAAATCACAGGCCCTGACAACTTAGGAGTTTGGATTTTTTTGCCTTCCTCTCACTGCTTAGTAATAGATTTTTCTCTTTGTATCATCTGTATTATGTGAAACTCTGCAGCTTCTTGCAGGGGCAGGGGAGGCTTTCATTGAGCAATCAACCCAATGCAGGTAAGCTTCTGCGTGCTTGGAAGGATCAATCTTGACCTCCTGTCTGCTGCAAGTTGGCTTTACAAGACCATTAGGTGTAGCAGAGCATAATGAACTGTAGAGTATTTTTAACAGTGTTGCAAGGTAGATGCAAGAAGCAAAGGCAGAAAAGCTCAGCCGGTGGTTCTGTCTTCTCTTTTGAGCAGTTTTAGACAGTGGGTGGAAAACTAAACTTGTTTAAGAAAGAAAAAAAGCCACTCTTACTGTCAAGGTCATAAACTACTGCGAAGGTGCTGCACTGAGGTCAGCGATTGTGAAATTTATAAGTAGGGGGGTGCTCAGAGCAGAAAGGAGAACACTGCAGGAGCTGACACCATGCCACAAGCAGAGTGGAGAGGGGCTGCAGCAGCATCACAGCGTGAATACTTGTAAGAGAGTAAATTTGTAGTTAAGGTTCCTGTCATATGCTTCTATTTTTAATGTTGTTAAAATTAAACTCTGCAGCCAAGGCTGAGTGCTAGGAATTCTTTTTGCACTGCTTCAGCACTGCCAGCATCTTTTTTGTCAACTTTCTCATCCTCTTCTGCAACCTTGGGTAAGGGATACCTCAGCTGTACAGGACAGCAAGTATCATCTCTCTGCCTCGGGGTGACCTCCCAAAGGAAAGGGCTTCCATCAACGATGAGATGAGATTGTCATGGCAGTGTCTGGTGTCAGCTATTAATTTGTGAGTGCTCTCCTTGGCCCTCTGGTTGTGAACGGCTACTGCTGAAAATCTGCACAAAACTGTCCTTAATTCACCTGCCTGATGGCTATTGCACAGATGGCATCTCCAATCAGAAGCTAGGGGAGAACTGCTGTAATTAAATAAGACTTAACAGCTAGGGTCAAAGCCTCCATCTTAATTCTCAAGTTCCTAGCCTTGATACAAACACGCTAAAGCAACCTGTGGGTCAGCAAAATGTTCTGATACTGAATGCTTTGTGGTCAGACACTCCACCTGATCTTGCTGGTTTTGGGGGTGGGTGGTTTTTTTTGTATTTGTCTTCACGATAGCAGATACTAAATTCTAAGAAGCTGCTTCTGTCTTTTAACATGTTCCGCACATTATTGTTACACAAAGCTAAGCCAAGGCTGTTGTACAGCACTTAGTTGTGGAGTGTTTGTTTAGGATTTACCTTTAGCTCCATGTAGCACACAGAATGGCGGTGGTTGTGGCATCTGGGATGGTTTTTCAGGCTCTTGGCCAGCAGCGAAGGCTCGTGTCTTGATTGTATTCATTCAATCAGGCTTGTGTAACAGGGCTGATGCTGTGAGAGTCAGAATCAAGCAAGCCAGCCATGCTGCCCGTTCTCATCTCTACATTCTGTTGCCATCAACCAAAACCACTTCTACCCTGATGGCCGGTACCTCCACAGATGTTAAAAAGATTAACCATCTTCATCTCCTTTGACTCAAAACACTTTTTTACATCAGAAAGAAATTTACAGTTTGTGCATCTGCAAAAGACTTGCTTAAAAATTCAGCCAGTGACTGGTTCTTAATATAGTTCAAAGTTCATAGACTATGGCTGATCTTTACCTTCCCTTGAAGGAGAAGAATGTTACAGTTGTTTCTCTGTGTCTTCCCTGTTATCCATTTTAAAGAGATT